TAAATCTTCTTGAAGAAAAGAAACTATACAATGGATCTAGAAATCTGAGACACCTGGACAGGGGAAAAACAATGTTCAAATTGCCACAGCGCAGAGTGCATGCATCATCAATTTACAGTGCAGACCCGGCTACAAGACCCAAGTACACGCAACAGTGTAAACAAAGACAAAGGAGTGCTTTTCTAGCTGATCTTTTATTTGGCTGTATACACTGTAGCCTGTGACTTGAATGAAGAGGCTTTGTGCTGGTCTTGTTATGATCTACACCAATTGTAGGTGATTAGTCACTCCTCTGATGCGTGCCCACTGCGTCAACAGCAAGTTTGGCGCAGGCAGGAACATGTTTGTTTTCATACAAACTGCAGGCATGTCACAGATGTTACAACAAAATGCAAAACTACACATTTACGGGTATGCACCTGTACTAAACAGAGTGATGAGGGGGGGCTACAATGCATGAATACGCATACAGGTTCCAGTGTAAAACGAAATCAAAACCAGAGAAATTCACAGAAACATGCGTACCGATATCTACACAAACAGGCACTGGTACGGTGCATGTGCATGAACATGCAGGTACATGTACAGACAGCCAACATTAAATGTACATATGTGTACATGTATGTACATCAACTGAACATGACTGTAAGCTAAACACCAGTGCTATAGGTCTAAGAAACTTTGAACTGCACCTGTCGAGTTACTGCCACCAGCATTCAGTCACAGGCAAATGTGAGTAATGCTTACATGTACCTGGTACCTGCATGTAATGTTCCTTGTAAAACCCTGGTATTGAGCTCAGAATTCGTTGGGGCTTGTGCTGAGCTCAGAATTCATCCGGCTGCGCTGGGAGCCCCAACACAGCTACTGTACATGAAAGCTTTGCATTTTTTTTTCTCTTGGGGATGTGTTGGAGATATTTTAAGTTACGTGGTACTCACTGAAGGCGGTGAAGAAAGCTACCCTCCAAGAACCATCAAACTCCACCAACACCTGGTTTTTGTCTGTTAATAATTGATTCAGGCCTACAAAGCCCGTCTGCATTGACTTGGTGCAGGGCTTCGCTAACTATTAATAAGAAATTGCCAAAAAAAAACACACACACTACAGATATTTTGAAGTGCTGGATTTCGTGGTTTAAGGAAAGTTCCAATGTGAAATAGAAATGCCCAGAGAACAGGGATTGTTGAATACCAGTCGCTTCACAAATCAAAACGAGATATGGGAGGGGTGGGAACGTGGCAGACCATATTTGGTGCAGCATTCAAAATGAAGCAAAATGAAGGGTCCATTATTAAATATATACATGTACTGTTACAAAATGCAAACACCAAACGCAAACACAAAACATCCATGTACTTACCCGATCTGAAAATGAAAGGTGAAAATTGGTTACTTTGTGTGAAAAGTCAGATTTGGAAATCCTCTGCCCTGCTACAGTAGAAAGCACCCTTCCCTTACCGATCTGAGCAAAGCTTCAATTAAAAAACATCCCAATTGAACCCAGTGATTTGTGTCAGTATGACAATCTTGTTGAAACATGTCAATGTTCACCGGTGTTAAATTTTCTTAAACTGGTTCTTTTACACAATTTATCCTTTCCATGCAACGCATTTTAGCCAGAGTTGGCAAAGTTGGGACACTCCCAGCCAATGCTACCAGTGACTGGGTGCCAAGACTGACAACCTGCATTGAGGTGAGGAAGACTCAAGCCAAATTTCACCTACACAAGTGATCAGGGTTGAAATTGGCTGTCTAGATTATTACCACATGTGGGCGAAGTGACCTTTCCCAACTGACACAGCAATATTTGTCCAAAATTCAATTTTAAATATCTCAAGTTGGCAACAAAGAATTTTAAATCCCCTTGCTACAAACGTGTTTTAGAACTTCTAGTTTATGTCTGTAATCAGGTTTTTTGCACAGCCAATCAAATTTTTGCAACAGAAATTTTTTATTAGTGTTTTTGTTTCATATGCTGCAATGTTTAAGAGAAGCACCCCGTAACATGGAAAAACCCATACAGTCCGTTGCAGGCTGCCAGAACAAGCCTTGTGATTGGTCAGATTGTGCAAGGTTTGTGACATAATAGGCCGTCCAAATATGGTAATACTCCAGACTGATTAGTCTGATTAACACTGACCATCATTGATTATTAACAATTTTAATAGTTGGCAATACGAAAACAGCTGACAACAAAGGTAATGTACAATCCATCATTTGTGCATTATGTTCCTTTGTGGTTAAAAAAAATTGTTCCAAATCACAAGGGTGTTTAAGAACAAACCCACTGAACATCTTATCATTCAACGTGTCAGCCCCTTTAAAATTCACAACTGATTAATCAACTCATTGCATGAAGAGGGAATTTCCCTCAATGTCCCCACGATTATTATGTATGCGGATCTATTGCTTTGCCTTTATTTGAACAGCCTTTTTCAAAAACACTCCAGAGGCTCATGAATGCTGATAATGGATGTGAAATCAGCATAGAGCAGAAAAACATTTGAAAGATTCACCTACAGAGGTCACGTCCATAGCCAATTTTTAGCTGGAATCAAGAATTTTTGTGAGTTTTTCTGGTTTTTAATTTTTTCCCAATTTAATACTTTTCAGGCACTTTTTCCCAAGTGAAAAAAAAGCTTTATCAAGGAGTTACATGTAGTTAGGGTAGACGGCTTTTACCGCTATGCACAACATTCCACTCCAGCTGGATTTTAATCATAGGAGGATTCCTTACAGCCTTTCAGGAAGTCGTCAAATGTGTGAATAGAGCTCATGATTAGTGTTCAGTAACACCCAAGATAAATAACTCATTTATGACTCCATGTAAATGTACATATACACCGTACCAACACACCATCACCACAAGTGTTCACGAACTACATGTATCCACAAACATGTTCCCTAACCATGGCAATTTTCTGACGTTACGGGGTAGACTACCAACCAAACGGAAACAATGTGATAAATATGATTATAAAAAGGAAAAACAAAATAATACAGGTCTACCACTGTGAAAATATGGTATTGGAAGATGCGTCATTAGATGGGATTAAACTTGGTCCCAGCTGAACACCATCTTCCTTTTAATAACTGTGAAGTCGCTGTGTATTCGATTCAACCCACTTGTGCTCCACTTTTTGAAATCTAATAGTAATGAAGTTTCATCTTCTTTACGACGAAACCGTTGTACTTCTGACAAACTCACACGATCACGCTTCTCTGCTAATCTACAGGTGTACTTATTTACCTTCCCCTACATACTTGTGGTTCCTTACTCAGAATTGCTTCATGACGGGTAATTGTACATGTATGTACAGTATGTGATCAATCCTGAAGGTCGAGTTCATCAACAGAGGGAAGCTCAAGCTCTCTTCCTTCACCTTTGACCTCCATGTACATGCACACTGACAAAACATTTAGGATACTGAACCGGGAACTTACCATAGATTCAACCCAGGGTTGCTTTTTTCTTGTGACATTTTAGCGCAGTAGAATGCAGAGTTCAAAAGTTCTATTGGTAATCCACCCTGGGTTGCAGTGCATCCTCACCGGCAAAATAAAGACAGACTGGTGCACAGCTTTCCAACTGGGTTCTTGCACGCGTTCCACGTGCACACAAAGACCATACATTCCAGCATAAATTGTTGTGCGTTCTCAGCGTTCCTTGCATCAAATGCGCATAAATTTGCGTGCCTATGCGGTAGGCTGGTGTGCATTTACAGGTATTTTTGGAACCGGGTACCCATTTTTGTCAACATCTGGTACTCGGGTACCCATAAAAGAGAACACTTAACAACAAATGGCATTGCAGGCAAGCCCGGTGGACCGTGTGCCCGAGACAGGGCTCTTTTTCGTACATACATGTAGGAAGCAAGCAGCACATTGCTCTAAACGTCAGGATAAATCTCTCCTATCTTTTTCTCGAACGAAATTGTTACCTTCAGTTTGCAAAATCCTCTTTTTGTAAGTATATGAAAGAGAAAAACAAAAGTTTTGACGAGGAACAGATGACAGATCTGCAAACCACCTACACAACATGCAGCTAACGCGCAAAGGAAATGTACCGGATGCCGCACGACCACGTACAAGCTGAATGCATGTGCACAAATGGTGAGCGCTGGTCATGTCACGTGCGGACTACATGTACAAAAGTGCTACATACACCTGGGTTAAAAGGCTTTAATGAACAAAAATACCCTGTAGCTGCAACAATACCCACACCACTCAATGTATGTCCACTTAGTTTGATATTTGTAATAAAAAAAAAACGCCTCTGAAATGCTTCAAATGACGTTGAATGTATCGTAAGTCTAGGGTTAAGAGTCATCACTGCCTTTTCTCACTTGGACCAATTGTATGCATGCTGCAGAAACCCACGTTAGCTGAAACCGCCTGAAATTCTGGCTTTCGAGCTACTGAAGCTGAAGTGCCAACTTTGTAGTCCCATTCAAGCCCGACTTACATGTGAAGTAATTTTCATTCATACTGTTTTATTTGACAAAAATACTCTTAGATACAAACGTTTATGACCAATGGTCCTGTAAATTTTTGTCATTTTTTTTTTCGCAGGAAAACGACTGTAGCTCAACTGGCGGAGTGGGTAACAAAATTAGCTGTCGATCTCTGAAGTGCAGTTATATGTACATACATGTATGACCACGGGGCCAGGTTTTCAGCAGCACGGTGATGTTTCAGCAATTCTGTCCTCAAGTATTAATTTTCATAGACGTTTGATATATGGATTTTTTTTTACCAGTTTATTTACGTTTTTTTATTTCAAGTTTGTCTATGGGTACCCGGCCCCCCAAAAAATGGAACTGGGGTTTTTATTTCAACAGGCAGGTACCCAGGTACCCGGCACAGGCCTACTGTGAGGCGAGTACATAGCTGTGAACAGTCTATTTCATTTTAAACTGCGCCCTCTTTTATTCCCGCTCGGAGCAGATGGCAGGTTTGTGTCCTGCAGCACTGAGCCTCTAAATAAATATACGCACCTGGTTCATTTTGAGAGTTCCAAGATCCAGTCACGTGAAGTTGCAGGCCCACTGCATGGGCTTAGTTCTGTCACCATCATAGTTTCAGTGTCAATTTAGTTCGTGGGGCGGGGAGGAGACAGCTGGACTCTGAGCCTCCAAGTGCTGCAAGTATTTGATGCAAAGTTCAGCAGAATTTGGGTTTCAACTGGTGCCAGCGAAAATCCAGCCAAAATCCCAAATGTCAATTGAAAAGTTCAACACTCCATGATCGTAATCAAACGTACATTTCAGGCAGGCCAGGAATCAATGTCATTCCAGCCACAAGTCAGCACTGAGTCGAGACTTGCATGTCGTTCACCATTCCAATGGGAGACGGGGTGGGAGTCATTGCAATTCTAGTCATCACTATTCAGAAGAGCAGCATTCCGAGACGTTTTTCAAGTTTCAGTGCGCACGAATCATTTACTTTGCTGCTCACCAGTCATATCCCTTTGGAAGCTTCGCAATGAATCAAATGTCTGCTTGATCAACTGAAGATCACATTTCCAGAAAGACAGCTACCAAGACCACACGCAGCAAGTAATTTCTACATAGTAGGTTCAGTTAGCTCAAGCAGGTAGTCCTTTACCGAAAACTGAGTGATGTACATGTACTTCAGTATGTAGGCTCAGCTCTTGCCATACCTCCTTGGTGAATATTCATAGGGGGGAGGCTCCAGGCAACCTTGTCAGCCATGCATTCTTTCAGCATATTCATAAGGATAGGTCCAATCACTGTCTATCTAGCCACCTCTGAATATTCAGCAGGACAAGTTTCAGCCAGTCTCTGCTCTACCTGATCACAGTTCATACCAGGAGTTTGTAATGGTGTCTTGGTTCAACTATCCCATCCATGATGTTACAGCATCCTCTGAAAAAAAATGGAAATATACACAGTAAACGCTGGTGCTCTTCAACTCACATTCTGGTGTCAGCCTGATTTTCATGGAGTTTAATTTCTACTTGTGTCTAATTCTTCAATGTATTAAATCCATGTACATTGTAAGTTCCATATGACCTGCATAAGAGACAATTACAAGGATATTACAAGGAGCATCTCAACTTTACATGTACTTTCTTAGTTAAAGACATTACTGTGCATTATGTAAGATCAGCATGGCCTGCCACAAGCACGCGGGAACATGTGACCACATGCAATGAGTCCCACCCCAGGGATGTTGTTTATGCTTTGTCGAAATGTATTTTGCATAGTGTAGATCACAGCTCGAAATCAACGGGCGCAGGTGGCTAAAATGCACCCGTTTGTCTCAGAAATGGGCCCACCAAAATAGCTGGAACCAGCGAAGCCAAAATCTCAGCCTAATCCACTCATTTCGAAAATGCTGGATTGCTGCAGTTAGTTCCCTTTTACCAGTACGTCTGTGTGCACATGCACGTTCTAAAGGCCTGGCACCCGACTGTTGGCATCGCATTGCTAAGCACAAAAGCAACAGCAAGGACAAGGGTCTTTGCTTTCTTTTCTTGAATATATGTCTTTAATATTGTATGGGAGCTACTTGCTCTCGTAAACTGACAAATTCAGCTGTCTAGGGCGCTAGTATTGCTCCTGTGATGATTAGCCCAATTTCGAGCCCTGTAGATAGATTTGAAGCAACTACTGCTGTTCCTTAACGGTGTAAATACTGTAGCCCACATGTCCTGTTACATGCAAATACATATATGCTTACTGCAGTAGATTTGCCCGAGTACAGCTGGTTCCAGTGCATGTGAAATAAGAGTCGGACATTGGACATTTTCTGACCACTAAGCACATCTATCCGACTGCCCGCAGAAGTGCTGGGACAAAATATCCGAACAGTGCACAACCTTCAAATCATCAGTCAAGTTGTCGCATGTACACAATGCAGTACAGTAAGCGAGCGGGTACAAGGTGAATGTGGTACTGGTGCCAGAGTACAGTAACTCCTTACAAACAGACTTCATGTCAAGTCGCCACTGACCAATGCCTCTGCACACATACGCACCAACGGTTTACGACCAAAAAGAAGTTGATCACTGAATTTCGGAAGTCTTTCTCAAGTATTGAAGTACCATATCAACTGGGTTGGGTCAACTTGGGTGACAATTGCCACAATTGCCTTTTCATGCCTGCATCATTTAAACTCCATGGCATCTGCACCTGGGTTGCGCGAGTTCCGAACTTAACATAAAGTCCATTCAAAGCTGAGGTCAGAGGGGAAAAAAAAACCTACCAATAGAAGACTGTCACATTGTAACTTTTGATGAGGTTATGACCTAATCAATATTTCTGTAAGAGTTTCATGAAAGGCTTACGCACCTTCTGCACATAGTACCAGGCGACGTGACCTCCATACTCCAGCGATACTCTAGGGCTGAAGCAATTCGAATAATTCACTTTTGGAATATTCGACCTATAATTTGATTGATTATCCGATTATTCAGTTGTAACGACCGGCGGATTGTTGATGAACAAACTACCCGGTATATACAAAATCAGTTGCAATGACGCACACAATTATGATATAATAGCTTCTCACATCTAGGAGAATCTCTAGCCGCTATTTAGAAAGATTTAAGAGATAAACAAGACTTTTTGCCCTGTTGAATATTTCTTTTCCTATTAAATTATTTAATGAATAATTCACTTTTTGAATCGTTGCAAGATTTCTGACGGTTCTCATTTGAATCTGCTTGAAACTACATGTACAACATGTAGCCTCCAGAGTGCAATTTTTCTCAGTTGAAACAAAAGAAAATTTTCTCTTTCTTTTCCTGAATTTGGCATTCGAATATTCCAAAAATAATATTAAAATATTCCGTTAGTCGGATATTGGGCACAGCCCTACAATGCTCACTGCTTTCGTACAGACACGGTGTCTTGAGCTACATGTATATGCACATGTACTATATGTCTGCACTACATGGAGTATCATGTACAGCGTACATGTACATGTACATATACTGGAACATGTAGTACATACAGGTTGAGCACATGTACCCCGGTGTCCATGGATCATGGCTGAACATTGTAGCACGTGTCACTCCGTGACTTCGGTTCAAAGAGTAAAAAGGCGATATTGCATTCAGAAATGACTCGCAGCGGTCATTATCTCTAGAGTCCACCTTTGTCAAAAGGGATTCTAGCTGTGGTAACTCTTCATTTTTAAAACGGGAAATTCTGACCGCAAATAATCCTGCTTGGCACAAGTTTGCCGTGAAAGAATGCCAGCCCCAACTGATGAAAACCTATCCTTGCCACTCGGTGTTTCCTGACACAAGCTGATCCCTCGGACATCGCAAGCAACCAAACCACCAGGAAATTCATAGTGGATACAAATGGATCCTGCTGCCAAAAATCCCTGGTGATTTCCCTGAGTTTCCCCCCTTGAAGGCAAGACCTCAGAGGACCAGGGCCTGGTTAAGGAGACAGAACTTTCACCAGGAATGACAAGCAATGACAAGAACAATCACTCTTCCTTGTCAAACAGCAAGACCGATAGCAGCAGATGATGGTCAGCTCGGATGGGCCAATTTGATGGCCTGACAGTGTTTTGCCCACAACTGAATCAAAGGGAAAACCAAATAAACCATCCCTGAAAAAGTAACATGTGCAACTGTCACTGTCAAAAGCACCAGGAGTAGTTTTGAAGTTTCAGCGCCTCAGCCGAAGGTGTAAATTTGAAGATACGATGCAAATGACATGTGTTTCCTCAGGAGACTCTCAATGGATCAAAACTTTTTATTGGTCAGCCAAATGAAAACAGACAAATCCTAAAGCACAGATGCTAAAGGCCAGCCTAGAGGCCTCAAAACAATCTTCCAATTGGCTGTTGTGTGAGAAGATGAACACAGATTCTACAAACATCACAGCAAAGTCATGCATCGATGACGATTTGGGCTGCAAAGCAAATCCACACTCAGGTTTTGATGAAATGCTGGAATAAAAGAGTGAAGACTGAATAGAAATGCCAAATGTGCCAATTTGCCTTTTTAAAAAAAAATGACCTCAAGATAAACTACCTTTCCAAGCAAACTAATTAATACATTGACACAGGCTTATTAATCTCCAAGCTTCACTCTCACACACTGCAATCCTGACTAGGAGTTCCCAGCCAGGCAACTGCATACATGTACTGAATTCTACAAATTACCAGGACCCTAGGAACTCTGAACCCAGCTGTTCACCCCTCCTCAGCTACCAGAGTCTGTCACCGAGTTCAGGAGTTCACACCTTCGGCATTCCTGACAGGTGACAGACAGAACCTGCCCGTCAAATTTGTTTTGTCTGTGGGTAAAGTGAGACAGGTGGATGGCAAGATAGAGACCAGGCTGGTCAGCAAACAAAGAGAGCTCAGCAATGGGGAACAATGGGACATAAATTTGTTCCCAATCTTGGCTCCCAGACAAACAATCCTCCTGTATTCCAAGCCAGACCTGCAAAGGTGCATGAAGGGGGATCAGTCAACAAGTTGAACCAAGCAACCAAGCTGGACCAAGAATACCTGCAATTTCATGGTTACTCAACAAGCACTCTCAACAAACAAATTACACAATAATTCAGAGAGTCGAACAAGCAGGAAGACAAGTGAGCAAGATCAACAAAAAATAAAGCAGATCCCCTAGTCAATGAAGTTAAAACAACACCGCATCCTGAAAGGTATTCGTTCCACTGCGACAGGCACATCAAGTAAGATGTACATTACACACTGGAAAGAAAATTTGTCATACAAATTGCCAGACTGATAGTCACAGGTGTAAAAAACCACGTTGTAAGCTGTTTCCAAGTAAGCATGTACATGCAAGTGCATGCACAGTGGTTTTGGAAAGGTTTTGTACATGTATGATGTCCACATAAGCAAACTTTAATAGGCAATAAGCCAGTTGGCAGTGCAAATAAGCTCAACTTCAAGACGCATAATGTCACACAAGTAGCAAGGAAAGCCTACAGATACCGGCACATCCCAACGATGAAGTTATCGGTTATGCCAAACCAACAGAGGCTTTGCGTGGCAGCCATCTCGCAGGGCAGTTGTTTTGTTCCACAAAGAAAGCCTCCTCGTGCATACCCTGTGGAACAAAGCACTGGCCTGCAAGATAGCAGCCATGTAAACCCTCTATACCAACTTTGCAGAAGATCAAAGCAAAGGGCAGAAAACAGAGAACTTTTCAGTATTGTTGATGTGATTAAGAGAGGGTTTAAGTGCAGTTTTACACGTATTTGCCAGAGCTTCAATTCTGAAATTCCGACACATCTTACGAAGTACCCCTTGACTGTGTCCATCAAACCCTAGTTATCAAGACCATCTTGGGAAACCAGGTTTCCGCTGTGGGTAATTCAGTCCAGGTTTTGAGAACTCGGCTGAACTCTGGAGAAGAATAGTCGCATCAAACTGCTCAGTCGTAGTGACTTGCGCTTTCCTTTTGACAAGCTCCCCAATCAACAAGCAAATAAGCATCTCCCTCGGGAACGACCCAAACTGGCCACTTAGAGCAGGCGCTGGGCCCCTTTCCTCAGCTTGCCACGGTGGAGGTACACAACCATCCCCCGTAGGAGGCACAGAACCAGACAATTTGACCCAGTACCCCTCCCAGAGGGAGCCCAGGCCATTGTCTTGGAAGATCCGATCAAGACGGAAGGAATTATCGGGAAGGAAACGCCAATTATCAAACACAGAGTTGACAATATTGGCTGGTCCTTTTCTACCCAGCTCCCATCGAATTCCAGATCCTTGTCAACATCGATTAGGCAGTGGTTTGGCTTCTTTGCAGCCATCCATCTTTCTCACAAGAACAGGGTAAGGGCATGACAGAAAATTCAATTCACATTCTGAAGAACATTAATTGAAAATAACTAAGTTTGCTGTTCTAACTGCACAAGCACATTCAAGT